AAAGGGAGGTGATTAAAGAATATTGTGTTGAGGGATTGAGCTGCTTTTCGAGTGCTGACCATATGTGTGGTATCATAGAAACTACAAAGGTCAGTTTCTTGGTTAATTTTTGTTTGGATCATTTGCTTGCTTCTAACTGACAAATTTCCTGTTCTTATCTCTTGGAGAATCCTGTAAAATTCAACATCATTTATCTGCCTTTGTGGTATAGTTAAGAATATTAGGAAATTTTTTTTCCAAACTGGTGATCTAAATACTTGAGAAGGACAAACTGGAGGGAGTTGATCTAGGTCTCCTACAACAAGTGTTGGTATTTCTCCAAAGATAAGATTGTTTTTATGAATTTTAGGATGTTGCTAACGAATGTGAAAAGGTCACTATCAACCATTGACACTTCTTCACATATGAATGCCTTGATCTTTTTTAATTCTGTTACATCTGCAGGATTGGAAAGAGCTAATGTTTCATAACTTCCCTCCCAAAAACTTATTTTTAAGGACGAATGTATAGCTTTCCATCAATGTTTTGGGCCACAACACCAGTAGGAGCTGCAAATAGGTGTATGCTTCAATTCAGAATGAACAGTATGAAATATATAGCATTTTATGTAATAGTTGGGGTAGGAGATCAGATGGAAAATATCCTTACTTTTTTTTAACTGGCTCGGATGGAACTGGCAAAAACTTTCATGACCAGGCAAATAATTAATCTCCTCCAATCAAAGAATAAAAAATATATTCGACTCCCTCTTCTATAACGTATCTCCCGACCAGGACGACAGTTGAATGCTTGGAAAAATTCAACACATTGTTTGCCATGTCATAATATCCTTTGAAGCTAATTTCTCTAAAAACATTGTCGTTTCCATAAAGAGCAATTCCATTGATTGTTCCCTCAGTGGAAGTTACATGTTTAATGAAACAATTGGCAACAAAAATAGAACACATGTTATTTTATTATTTTTATTTTTTTAATTATTATTTGTTATTTATTGTTTATTATTATTTGTTGTATTTGTTGTAGTTGTTGCATATGTTGTAGAATTGGTTGAACTTGCTGAATATGTTGATGTATCAGTGACTGTTGCATCTGTGGTTGTTGCATGTGTTGCTGGATCGGATGAAATAATTGCATTGGTTGAATATTGTGTGGTTGTATTAGTTGTATTGGTTGTATTAATTGTATTGGACGAACCTGTTGAATATTCTGTTGCATTTGTGGTTGTATTAATTGCATTGGGTTAATATATTGTATTGGCTGTATTGGTTGAACATGTTGCATATATTGTATATGCTGTAGTTGTTGTTGAATATCATTTTTAATATTATAATTATTGTGTATATTATTTGGAATATTACTTGGAATAATGTTTGGAATAATGTTTGGAGCAATATCATTATTATTATTTTGAAAGTTATGATTTTGGATGTTATTGTCATTTATGTCTGTTGGATCATTATCATTATCATCATCATCTATTATTAAAATTTCTTTATTTAAAGAATTTATTTTTTTATTCCAATCTTCTATTAATTTTTTAGAGAGATTACTTTCTGGCTCCTTATCATGACACATATATAGGAAAAAAAACATCAAAAAAAATTTTTTTTTCCAGATATAACAAAAGAATCAAAAAAAAGAACAGTTATAATAATACCCAAGTCAACTCCCAACTATCTCCATAAATATTTACACCTGCCCATTTTATTAAGTAATGTTTAACGCCCTTTTGAATTCTTTCATCTAAAATGCATTCAGGAGTTCGAACAATGTCTTCCATTTTATTTTGTTTAAAAAGGCCCCAATGATGGTTGAGTTAAATAACAACTATTATTGTAGTCAAAAATATTAAAGTATTGAATGAGAATTCTTGAGAAGAGTGAAAAAAAAACAAGCGAAATAATTCGTGTGATCAAAATTAAAAATATCTGCATTAACAATGTTACACGAATACTGCGGGAAATACGCTAATCAATCCTCCAACAGCTATTTATTATTATTATCATCATCATCATCATGTTCTTCGAAACACCTCTGGCCTTTTCTGATTGTTCAAGGAAAACTTTAAGGCAAGCATTTAAGTCACGATTTCACGACATAATTGAATTTTTATTGTGGAACTTTACCACATGTTCATCAAAGTTAATATTAATGCACTTATCCATTTTGGTCATATTTATTATTTTTAACGAAAGAATACAACTCAACCAAATCAGTGCAACATACTTTGTAACAATTTATAAAAGATTGACAATATTTTGGTAATATTTAGAAAGAATTGGCAACGATGCTATCTCTCTTTGGAAATTTTCGAAGGAAAAGTAAAAATTTCGTTTCATAAAATTGATTACGTTGTATAAATCTTTCAATCATTGATCATGATAATGACCACTCACCCAATTTTTTTTAAAACGTTCAGAGGTTGTATTTATAAGTAATGAAAAAGAAATCACTTGATTAAAATCGAACCTTTTCCAAAAATGTGAAGATACCATTAAAAAATTTTGGGAATTAATCCATTATTGATTTAGTATTAGCATCGCCAGAAAAACAATTTGGAATTTATTATTTTAAAAAAATATTTAAAGGAAATCAATCAAGTTTTTTTTCTGAAAAGATTCTTGTCTTTTTGGAAA